ATTAATTTTTTGCGTTATTTTATATATTTTAAATGTTCTATTATAAATATTTTTATTTATTCGTTATTTTATCAATAATAATATTTTTATTAATTTCTTTTTTTTCTATTAGCGTTATATTAAAATTTAAAAAATTTATTAATTTATTTTTCTTATTTTCTATAAACATTAATTTCTTTTTAAATATTATAAAAATATTAATAATATTTTTAAACATTGTTTTAAATGTTATAAATTAAATATTATATTTTTTTATTTACATTAACTATAATTAATCATTGATTAAATTTATTTTTAAGATTTAATTTTAAATATAAATTATTAATATAAATTTATTTTTATCAAATTGTTATAATATTTTTAATATATATTTTTTTTATTAAATTCAATCATATTTTTAATTAAGAAAATTAATATAAAACAATAAATGATTTTATTATTTAAATAATATAAATACATAGATAATCATAATTAAATAAATTATATTTATTGTATATTTTCTACTTTTCATTATATAATTTTGGAAGTTTATATTTTTTATTTTTTTGGTTAGTTTATTTAAGTATTGATATTGCATAATACTATAAATTTTATATGTTAATTGTTTTTCGGTAGTTTTTTATTTAGTTTATTTCTATATTAAAAATTCTAATTGTGTCTTTTTATTTTATTTATAAATATTAACAATAATTTTTTAGATTGAACTATTAGTTATTTTCTGAATATTTTTATTTTAAGAGACAACTGTTTATATAAATAATTTATATATAAAAATTAAAAAATGATAAAATAAATAATTTGAGTTTTTTATAAAAAGTTCTATATCAATCGTTTTTTATAAATTTTTTATATGTAAAAAATTCATATTTTTATTTTATTATAAAAATTAATAAAAAGTATTTAATATGAAAAATTATCATACTTAATACTTTAAATATAAACATAAAAAATATATAAATAAACTATAGTATATATATCTGTAATTTTAATAATATATTAAAATTCTTGTTAAAATAAAAAAATTGGATATTACATGATTTTATTATTTTCAATATTAATTTATATTATTTATTAATTATTTCAAGGATTAGATAAATTCGTAAAGTTTTCTAGTCAAAGAATAATTCATATAATAACTTATATATATTAAGTGTTTATATTTAAATTTATTTTATCTAATTATATAAATATAAAATAAATATATTTATCTTTAAATATTTTTTATAATTATTAGCTTATATATATCTTTAATTAAAATTTATTCTTCTTTTTTATTTAATTATTTTTTAAATAAATTATTTTTTTTCATTATAATGTAAAAAAATATATGTAATAATAATTCGTAATTTAGTATCTAATTAAGTTTAGATATTTTTTATATTTGAATTTTTAAAACAATTAACAAAATTGACAAATATTTATTAAATTTATAGTAAAATATATATAGAAATTAATTTCTTTTTAATTTTAAAATATATATAATTATATAATAGTTAGAAATTAAATAAAAAAAAAAATTAAAGATTCAAATTTGTTATGTTTTTTTATATATAGATACATATAATAAATATAAAAATAAATATTAACATATTTATATTTTAAATAATAATATAAATAAAAAAAAATGAATGTATTAAATAAATTGTCTAAAAAATTATTCGAAAAAATAAAATGATATTTATTTAAACTATTATATTTAATATATTAGTGCATAAGAAAATACATTTATTAATTCAAAAATAAAATATTCTATAAAAATAATTTAATTTTTTTTTAAATTGATATAATAAATGCTTTTAAAATGTATTTTAAAATTTTCTTATAAAAGAAATACAATATAAAATAAAAAATATTATTAATTTTAATGTAATCAGAATAATAAAGCTAAGGCAGCTAAGATTAAACCGCAGAATAATTTTGCAGAAAAACTAGAGTTATTTTCTAATTAGGCGTTTTTAGTTGAAGATTAGGCAACTTCGATTTAGAAATTTTATTTAGTAACTTTCCAGTTGTGCTTTCAGCAG